GTTGAGTTACAGTGACCTGGGCCACGCGTCCCGCGGATCGATCCGAGAGTTGATGCCCAATCAATCGGCATTTACGGCTTGTTTGAACACTATCTCGAGTGTTGAGAAAAGATTGCGGAAGATTCCTCCAAGCTTCCGCTGATGAGCAGCTTGACAGTCTCTGTGTTCCCAAACTCTGAGGCTACCCATAGCCGTTGTTGGCGTTGACTTTGGCGCCGGCCCCAATGAGCATGACAACCTCTTTGTTTCCCATCTCTGATGCTGCACTTAGCGCCTCCCCGCTGTTTGCATCGACGTCGGCGCCAGCCTTGATGAACTGCTTGGCGAGCGCTGTGCTCCCGTTTCATGATGCCGCGCGCATTGTGTAGCTGCCGTTTGCATTAACGTCAGCGACATCATTGATGAGCAGCTCAACAATCTCTGCATTTCCCCTCTCTGACACGTCTGACAATGCTTCCACGCTGTTCGCATTGAAGTCGGAGCCACCCTCAACGAGCAGTTTCACAATCGCCATAAACCTGCAAGGGCGATTATGTAAAATCAAAATTTTATCTGATGCTGCTTTCAGTCCGGATTCTGTTTGGCTTGGAAACTGTCGTTTAGGAGAAGGGAAAGGATCGCTGGCGCATTGGAGATGGAGTAGTGGCATTGCAGCCCATGTGCCCGCTGTGAGAGCTCACTTCGTGATCACTCAGGAACGGACATTACACGGCAAGTAATCCGCTATCGAACGGCACTTCAGGCAGCCCCCAACTGGGACCATCTAGGGTTATATATGCATTGGTGAATCAAAACCCCAAGAGGGTCCCAGATGGTGGGGAGCGCCCGCAGGTGCCCACAGGTGGGTGTTCCCACCCTTTATGCTTTTTGGGTCCTTGGGGGCTCCCAGATGCTGGCTTTCTTGTGGTATGGGTAGGCCCAAAAATGTCACATGTCACACCCCTTTCCGGGACGCCAGGCCCAGCATTTGGCGTGCTTGCGCGCCCTTGATCCAGGCCCACGCAGCGGAAGAAAAATTTCACAATATCAGCAATATCAGCTCTGCCCATTCACGGTTGGTTGGTTGAAAACATGCATTACACTGGTCTGTCTTCAATGTGGCTCCTGTCATCTCTACACAGTTATGGAGCACTTGGGTGCTTTATATGCAGCTTTCTGCACCAGAAACTCTGACTCCTCAGGTATACACAAAAGCATCCTCAATTATGGCTTGTCCCTCGGATCAAGCATGGGCGTCCCCAGATATGTCTGGGCACCCCCAATCACTAAGAGCATGGGAACACCTACTACTTTTAATCATTAATAGGCTAGATATCAATGAAAGTTATACCTAACACAGGGATAGGACAAGGGAATGTTAATTGCAGGATCTCATTTGCCTATTTTTGCATGACTATGACTTTTCTCTGAATCAGGAATTTGGTTAGTGATACTTCCTGTACTTACTTACCTGTTTTAGACTACTAACACTTTTATCCAAATTAGAAAGTTTTGAACTTTACCTCATCGGGAACACTACAAAACCTCAACCTCAGTCATTCCCAAAAAGTAGGGAAGGAGTGAAGCATCTGATGTGTTAGACTCAGCTGGATGTATCACAGTCTATAGACTGTACTGATACAGTGAGGACATGTTTTAAAAAGAAATTGTGTTCTAGGGTGGTATGATGGCTTTGACATGTTATCAGTCAGCTGGGATATATCTCTTGCTCTATATGTATTCTCTCTCTCTCTCTCTCATGGATGGAAATTCACCTTTTTACCGGAGATTTCCCTTTTTGGAACACTTACACTTTGTTCTCAAAAAGGAAATTATTTGTATCAAAGCTCTCTAGTTGCTAGTCCAACCGTTGAGAGCATTTAAAGCACGCAGTTATACCTAATTATGCTTGTCAAAACTGAAAAGAACGCACAACAGCCATCTCATACACAGCAATTAGCTCAAATCACCAATATAATTAAATTTGTGTTTTATTATGATATCTTGAAGATGTATCCATCTGGGTGGCTTTTCAACGTCCCATCCGCTTCAGGAGTACTCCCACTACACCTTCCATACAGAATAGAGAGCTCCTGAAGTAAAATAGACATCAAATTGTCCTTACAGTGACAATGCTCATTAGCTTATCATATCCCGGTGGAGTGCATCAGGTATGAATGAACACATCCATTAGCATCTTATGATTGATATGTATGTGAAAGAGGACTTTTCAGTGCCTAGGCAATGCTGTACAAGATGGTTTTGGGAGATTACATCTCAGACTCTAATCTTTCATATTCAGTGATATACAGGGACATAGGTAATGATATGAACACTCTTTGGAACTCCCCTGGCCTGGATAAACAGTTCTGAGTCAAAAGAACCACCAATATAATATTGTATAAGTTGAAAATATCAAATCTCACTTTTTGGTTGTTTCATCATCAGGGCACTCAAAACACAAGGTACTGCAAAATAAACACTAGGACTGAAAGGAGACAGTCCAAACGATTCAAATTGAGCTATATTTCAAGGCTTTTGGTCAACGTTTGACCTAGTTCTGTTTCTGAGGATCTGTGTTTATACACCATTTGGAGCTCATATATTGTGGACAGGTCAAAACACTATCTGGTCATATGTGGACCAAAACACTTGAAATAAAGCTCATTCTGACTCTTTTACATTGTCTGTTTGTGTTATTGTGACTTTCCTTGCACTGAATGCTCACATTAGTGCTCTGTCTGCAAAATAAGCAAAAGGTGAAATTTGACAATTTGGAGTTAAATCATTGTATATTGTTGAGATTATTGTTGATTTGGCATAGCATAATCAGTAACAGGTTTTATTTCAACACCTATAGCACTATGATACCTTCATAATGAGAGATACAAATATGCCCTAAAATCACTGTACACCATGAGGTGCAGGCTGCACTGGCTATCTATTGTGAGTTTTAATGTGATGGATACATGATAGAATGCCAGAGAAACAATCTTTGAATATGTTACAGTGTGGATTCAGGTGTTATAGTGTCAAGATGTAATATTCTTATACAGCTGAATTATGGTGTTTTGAATGATAGAACCCCAATATATCGAGTTTAAACACTTCCTATATGATGATGGAGCACAAGGTGCCACTTAGAAGGTATCTGAGCGCTCCATCCCCACTTATAACAACCACAACATGTTTTCAGTCATTCTTCTTGTTTTCACCTTGTTAATAGATAGTAAAAGACAATGATGTAACCCAGTCATGTTTGGGGAGCAGAAGGAAATATGAAATATCAGTTACATCATCCGGAACACGTGAATCAAGAGCCAGAGCACAAGTGATGTTGAAAACTTCCTTTTTGGGCCAAAGGTGTTAGTGTCCCAAAAAGGAAATCCAGCGATCAAAGTCACGGTTTCTGTAACCAGAGTGAAAGACATTCTATGAAGATGTTCTGGTACAAGTGGTTCACAATTAGATAGGATTGGAATTTGCCTTTTCACATTATTAGCTGAGGAATAGCCAAAGTTCAAAATTGCCTTTTTGGGCAGAAAGCATTAGTGTCCCAAAGAGGAAAACTGTTCACAAAACTCGTGATTCTCAAATCCATCTTGTTGACCTCAAAAAAGGTGGTAGGACTCATTGATAAGCTTTTCCATTGAACACAAAATACATTTTTAGAGCTGACAGTGTTCTGATATTTGCAAGAACCTACAGGTGTGCCTGTAGGTAGATGAGGCACAATGAAGAGGTTTCTTGGGTTTCATGTAACAGGAAAGTCTCAGAAACTATGCATCCAGCCCATAAATGATACAGATGATGGGGTGTCCCCATCCTATCAGTGATTGGGGGTGCCCATAGTGCATGTAAATCCTGCCAGTGGGGGTGCCCAGACATATCTGGGGACGCCCATACTTGATCCGAGGGACAAGCCATAATTGAGGATGCTTTTGTGTATACCTGGGCAGTCAGAGGTTCTGGTTCAGAAAGCTGCATATAAAGCCCAAGTGCTCCATAACTGTGGAGAGATGACAGGAGCCACATCGAAGACAGACCGGTGTAATGCATGTTTTCAACCAACCAACCGTGAATAGGCAGAGCTGATATTGCTGATATTGTGAAATTTTTCTTCCGCTGCGTGGGCCTGGATCAAGGGCGCGCAAGCACGCCAAATGCTGGGCCTGGCGTCCCGGAAAGGGGTGTGACATGTGACATTTTTGGGCCTACCCATACCACAAGAAAGCCAGCATCTGGGAGCCCCCAAGGACCCAAAAAGCATAAAGGGTGGGAACACCCACCCGTGGGCACCTGCGGGCGCTCCCCACCATTTGGGACCCTCTTGGGCTTTTGATTTACCAATGCATATATAACCCTAGATGGTACTGGTTGGGGGCTGCCCGAAGTACGAACGGAGGAACATTGAACGGCTTACACTTGCCTTTCTCCTGAAATCCTTACGAACGACAAAAACCCACCGCGAGAGTCGAACTCGCAACCTTCAGATTAAGTGTCTGACGCTCTATCCAATTGAGCCAGGTAGCCATCGGACGTTATCAAACGAAAGAAACTAACCACCGCCGAATATTGAATGTCCTCCCCCTCCCAATGTTGCAATATGTTCCTGCATTGGCACGCATCACCCGAGTCCTGGATAAAAAGGCTGTGATTCCAAATGTCCATAACCCGACCCCGAATCGAACAGGGATCATTGCAGTCGAAGTCGTACTACAAATATATGGTCCTGCGATGCGCTACCAGCTACGCCATCGGGTCGTGTGGAGAGATACTCGATGGGACAATTCGGACCGTACGAACAGTATGCCCGAGGACAGAGAAAGGGCCGCTCAACGCAACGAACGGGATAAAAACGTTCAGGCTTTTCTGAAGGACCTGACCTCGAATCGAACGAGGGGCTCCGCAGAAACAACCAATAATCTTGGGGCAGTCGAAACTCGAGCTCGAGCCCAACATCGAACAGAAGTAATGAAACAAATAACGATCGGAGGAAAAACACATTAATCTGCCCGCTACGGCCTAGCCTCGAGTCGAATGAGGGACTCCACAAGAATATGCTAACAACAACCACCATATATCAGAGTGGTGCATTAACCGTTATGCTACTAGGCTGGTTAAAGGGGAAACTAAAACATACGACACGAGACAACTGAAAAACAACGAACGGCGAAGGTGTAAAAATCTGATAAACGCACCCTATGGTCCAGCCTTGATTTGAACAAGGACCTCCATCGTGAACATGTGATGAACAGCTTCAATTTTACAACAGCGCGTTCACCGCTACACCACTGGACCATGGACGAGCTACGCGAGAAAGAAAAAACTACCTCCGAACGATACCAGGGCCTGGCCTTGAATCGAACAAGGACCTCTATTCTGAAGAGTACGGAATCGTGTACTCTGCGACGGCACACTACCGGTTGTGCCACCAGACCGATAGTTCTGCTGCGACCGGGGAGCTGGATAAACAAGGCAATTATCGAATGGCGAAGGAAAAAATCTAGAGAAACACGCCCTGCATGGCCCGACCTTGATTCGAACAAGGGACTCCGTCGAGACTCAATGTGCAGAAGAGGCATGCTTTCGACGGCACGTTACCAACTGCGCTACCGGGCCATGAATATCGGATGGGGGTGACCGGGAAAAGGGGACCGTGCACATAACCACTAGGGCCGGGCCCCGAATCGAACGAGGGACTTCGCCTTCAAGGGTGCAAGAAGGTACTTTGGGACGACGCGTTACCAGCTACGCCACCAGGCCACGAGGGAGAATAATTGCGGAGGGGGAAAAATCTCATATTAACGAACGACGGGGGAAGCAAACGGGAAATAATGAACGGAGAAGCAGCTGTCAGAAGCTCTGACAGTAAAATAACGAACGGAAGGAAGATGAAGGGCAAGATGACTCATCTAACGGACGGGGGATGAGGGGGTTGGAGTTGTAAGGGACGGATTGACAAGGAAGGATGACGGGAAGGAGTAATGGAGGTGACGAAGGGGGGGGAGAGGTGGTGCGAGCTGGGAGAGTATAAATACAAGGACATATAACGGAGTGAATCTATCTACTTTTTCCCCATCTAAATCCGCCAACTAGCCTAAACGGCTAGCAAGCGGCAGAAACCCACTTCAGAGAGAACTCTGCGGCGAAGGGAGGAACAAAGGTCACTGACACCAGCAGTTCGGCACAGCGAACACAGGATTATAGTCTGTCTACTGCACGGAGAGTCATAAGTATTAAGCAGCCACCCCGCTCCCACATTATCATCGATAACTCCCCCTCGACCTCCTCCGCACTTAAAACTATTGAACGGAGAAGAAACAGAGCAGTCGCAGAGCCAGTTGTAAGAGCACACGCGGCATGTATCTTTGCGCACTTGGTCGAACGGTGGAAATATCGAACGGATAAGAGAAGAAAAGGGCTTTGGGAGGGAAAGACGAGGAAAACAAGGAACGGCGAGACATGTCGAGCTGTTAAAAACTCGTACAACTCTCCAACAACGGCATACACAGGCATCTAGGGGAGAAATAACGGGCGGCGACCACCCTTAGAACCGAAACATAACACTCGAGAACCCCCGACGGGATTTGTTGTCCTCAGCTGCAAGACCATCGGGCTAGACTACTGACCGGAGCGCTGAAGGTGTCAAAGCTAGGGGTGCTGTCATGGAAAGTGGCCTCCAACTCGCGCAGATTCGGGCAATACTTGTGAACTGCCTGGAACACTGCGTCCATAGGATATTCACGTAAACCGGCAATTGTTTGACCGCAGGAGAATCGTGTCAAGGAGGTCATCGCGAAAATAGTTGCTGCAAGCACACGCGGGAAGTCGGATCCCCACTTTGCGCAAGGTTGCTTGTCGCTATGGCTATTGACGAGAAATTGTGAGATCCGTAGTTGAGCTAGTCTAGATTTAGGTGTCACCCATTAGCCGTAAGTCCCTATTAGGATAGACTTGGACGCACTGGCTTCATCCAACCAGGAATCGCCTTGAAAACTATCCGGAATCCTTGAAGGGTCAATCCAGTAGGTCCCTAGACTTTTTTGGGCAAATTATTGTGCTATGGTAGTTTCACAAATGCAAAATCCTCAAGGCTAGTACCGTGTGAATTCTGCGCACAGCCACCTCAACGGCGAAGCAAAAAAGGTGTTCCCGACACAAATTTGCACTTCAAGTGACCTGTTAGGAAGATTGAATGCCCTGTCCCCTCTTTATCATGTTTTTAGTCGAAACTGAGCTAAAATCGGGAGCCCATTTCGATATTTGCTCCCCAGAAAATCTCCATTTTGGGGATTAGCATATCCGGTATTTGGGACTTACGGCTTTTGGTGCGCAAGTAAAATCAGACCAGTAAACCGGGTTTTTCCCACCTCCCTCAAAAAAAAAAAAAAACTTTAGTTTACTGGTCTGACTAGAGAGACTATAGTTGAGCAGTGCTGCGAAAGAGCCGCATTGGTTCACCCAGTAAGTCGAGGGATAGAATGCGGCTGGAAAGACCAGGGTACTTTGCCAATGCCATTCAAGTGTCATTCTACTGACATCGCAGCAGACCTTCCGGAACTCTAGGTGTTGCGGGACGACGATGCGGTGGAGGAATTTACTCGTTGGCCAGACTCCAGAGATAGAAGATCCTGGGGAACAGGAACGCAGGACGCAATGGCATCTAGCAGCTTCGTAGGTCGGCTACACAGTGACATCGGGCTTGTGAACAGTGCTGGCCTCGCCAAGGGGGTACCGAAAGAAAGAAAAAAAACCTGGGGCCGTATTTTTTCAAATACGGTGGAGTATATACAAAACACCTACCTACGGTACATTCTCAAACCCGGCAGATCCCAACTAAACACGGTGCATTCCGTCCATGTGCTGCCTTTGAGAAGAAACTCGGTACTTGCCATATTTGAATGTACCGTGGATCGGGACTCAGAGAGCCCTGATTTGGAATGGGGTCACGGGGCAATCCCTCTCTTTCTCCTACCACCACCAGCGCTCATCTCATTTGGCCCCGACGCATCAAAGGCGGTTCAAAATGTCGCTCAATGCCAACCACGAAGGGAATCCACGCCTGCCAACTGCGTATCTTGGAGGTGCTGCTACCCCGTGTGCGCGGTGAGTTTCGGATTTCGAGCCTTTTTCAGGGTATCTTTGACCATGAACCAGAATTTTCTGCCGGAAGGTGTACGAGGCGAATGGCTGACATCAAAATTGGCGCTTCGCCCTCCCCCAAACGGTGTTGCAGTATGAGTATCACCATCCACCATCCCATGCTGGCATTCCGCGGGCGTCGAACAAAAACAAGTGTGTTTGCGGCACGACGTGCACGGTGAATGTTTCCCTCCCGGTTCTGCTCTCATTGAAGTTTGAATTCCAAAGTTGGTGCGAGGGGCTTGAATAGGGCGGATGCGATGCGCGCGGGATGCTGAGATTTTTCGGGCGGCTGACACACAGTGAGTGTTTGATTTTGGCTAGTTTCAAATGTTCTTCAGGGGTTGGCTGCGGGGCCCCGACTTGTAAGCCAAGCCACTTCTGTATTGGCCTGAAATTCGACTGACTGCTACTGGTATCCACTATACATTAAAATCGTAATCCTACGTCCGTCTAGTTCATTGGATGAGTTGTGTTGTGCCAATCCTAAGGGAAATTTTAGTTCAGTGTTTGTTTGATTACCCCGTAACCTACCAGAGGGAACTTACAGTTCTCGGAGGTTCAGAACACATGTTTCGCCCCCGAAAACGTCGCGGAACGCTTGTACACCGTCACCGCAACAATATACCGTGTATATCGCCAAGCCCGGTACATGCCGAAGGAATGTGCCGGGCGTGGACACAATGTACCGGGAGTAGAATGTGCAGACAGTCCGAGTTTTGTTAATCCCGTATTTTTTTCAAACGGAGCCTTGACCTTGACCCTCCCTACCACAGAGGGATCCGGGCCTCCCTTGACCACCGAAAAAATATGGCATTTTTTTTTTCTCGGCCTGACGGTCGACCCACCCTAGTCCCCGGTCACGGCTTGACCGGCCCGGACCCCTTGGGCCTCGCAGAGTCTGAGAAGGTGAAAAGAAAGCCTTACCAATTGTACCGTCCTGGAGTTTCGTGAGGCGGCATTTATGTAACTGAGCTCAACAGCCAGGCTATCTCATAAGTAATTACCGTCGACTCCAATGACTCACTCGTCTGCACAGTGCAAGCAGCTTCTCGCTATCATGTTCAGACGGCATTTCCCCCCGTTTCGTGTCACAATCGTGTGTACCTTTATCGGCTCGAACTTCTCGACGAGCCTTCTTGTGCTTCCGAACCTGTAGAAGAAGACGCAACACCGCTCAGCGCTGAATATCGTACGATATTGCACCTAGCAGCCGCGGGGGTTACTGGATTAAATCGAGCCTAGGAAGCTTCGCAAGTTTTGATTGGATGATCTGGCCCCAAAAGAATACTCGTAAGCGTCTGATGCCCCTCTCGAACGCTCATAAGACTGCTCAATCGCCCCTTGTGCCACTCTTCCTTGGACTCTGATTGGATGATGGCGCCCGCAGCAGGCGGTGGACGGACTGCAGGGAGCATTCGCTTCTTGATGCTAATACCAACTCCGAGGGGGAACCATGTAGTCAAAGCCGTATAAAAGGGAGCCGTCTCGATGAACGACCATAATCCACCCACCCCCATAATCCACCCGCCACCCATCGCACTACCATGCATTTCTTGAAATCTATCATCCTCACGGTGCTGGCTATCGCTGTCAGCGCCACCGCGTCCGCCATACTGCGCGAATCTCGGGACACCGAATGCCGCCGAAAGGGAGAATTCTGCATTAGCGACACCTGCTGCTCCCACAAGTGTGTATTCCACACCATCTACGGGGTAAGTATCAACTTGCAGTTCCCCTCCGCGACCGAGATCTGACCTCCTGCCCTAGGAATGCGAATAAAGCGTGAATGATCAAGGCCGTGGAAGATCGCGGGAGCGGATAATGACTGGGTCGACCGTGTGAAGCTGGGATGGCGGCGTGCAGCGTGAATCGAGAATGTCGTCTATTCAAAAATCTTGTCAAAAAAAGTTTGCGAATCGAGGTTATATTATGCAGTGGATCTGGCTAAATCTATTTCCTAAGCAATCTGCGGACGTCGTTGTTTATGACGGTCAAAATGCACTTTTATTATTCCGACACTTTCTTTCGTATTTTCGAACTTTCCGACACTTTTATTGTCCAATCCACTAATTTCCGACACTTTTATCAGCTTTGAAACCTCCAATAAAAGTGTCGTGAAAATGGTCAGTTTTCACCACACTTTTATTGACCGCAGTGGAATCCCGACACTTTTATTGGCCTCAATTTTTTACACCCGGATATAGCTCCCAGGCATTGTGTAGATTGGCACCTATGGAAGAATACTCCTCACGGCCTCTGGGGAAGCAGATACAGCCTTGTAAAGAGCAATCAGTGTCTAGCCGGACCCGCATGCGTCGGCACATGGGACGATCAATCACCGGATCACACGAGTGCCGGCTTCTCTCGATCGGGTAACAGCAAGCAGCTAACGGATATTCACCCACCACAGTTGGCTCCAGCGCATTGGAGCAGATACTTTTTGGGATACACAGCTATCTGGCCTCTCCCTCAGGTGAGCTAGCTCAGCAGGAACCCAACGATCGGGCAACATCAAGGTTCGCATCAGAATCTGATCCTATTCTTGATCGCTGCAAGTCAACACGTTTGCTCTCCACAAGGACGTGTTAACACGGTGTTGAACATCCCTTGGGTTTTCG